TTTTTTTTTTTTTTTACTGGGGATCAAACTGAGAACCTTGCGCTTTCAAGGCAGGTGGCAGAACCATTGAGCTAAATCCCCGGCCCCCAGACTGGGTTTGAACTTTCGATCCTCCACATGATCTGGCTTACGATCTGGCCCCAGGTTCCCATAGGAAAAGGGAAGTCTCATACTAGAGCCGGGGAGGCAGACAGGTTTCTGCGGACCCAGAGCAGCTGCCCTGGACTGAGGGAAAGCCTCAAGGTTGGCCATGCCTCTGGAAGCAGGGGGCAAGACCCAAGTTCCTGACTTTCTGGGGAAGGACCCTTCTGGCACTGGGCCTGAGTCCCGATCGAGATCCTGGAGTTGCTGGGCGCTGTGGTGCACGTCTGTATTCCTAGAACTTAGGAGCCTGAGGCAGGAGGATCACTGCTAGTTGCAGTCCAGCCTGGGCTACAGAGCATTGTCTCAAAAAAAAAAAAAAAATTCCTGGGTCACAGGTGACCCCAGCAAGCAAGGCTGTGAGAAGGTCGAGTCATCTTAATAAAGCTCGAAAGTGGTGTTTGTGCATTGTTTTTCAGTCCTGGGGACTAAGCCCACGGCCTTTGCAGTGAGGTATGTCTCCAGCCCCCACTTTTTAAATTTTGTTTTTAAGACAGAGACTCCCTAAATCGCTAAATTGTCCAGGGTGGGCTGACATTGAGTGTTCTAGTCTCAAACTCCCGCCTTTACTCGCTTGGCTTCTGGTACTGCTTCTAGCTTCCTCAGTTTCCCCATCTCAAAAATGAGGATAATAGAAACCACTGCAGCATACTCTAAAGATGGAATTATTTTAAACACTCAAGGCACTTTCCAACAGTGCCCAATCGTCAGACTCTCCACACTGCTGCGAAGAGAGAGCTTGCTGCGGCGGTGACCCGGGAGGAAAGTGAGGTCCCTTAGTGCCAAGGTGGGGACTGGACGGGACTGAAGCAAGCAGTCGAGGGACTTCCGGGTAGACCCGGCACGGACACGGTCCCAGCCAGCCTCGCTCGGCCGCCCTCTGCGCTCGCCGCCAGAGGCCGCTGGGCTGCCGCGCTCCGAGCCCTGGCCACCAGCCCCGCCCACATTCCCCCGCCCCACCCAGGCCCCGCAGGCCCCGCCCCGCCCCGTCCAGAAGGCCCGGGTGGTCCCGCCCCCCGCCCAGAAGGCCCCACAGCCTTGAGTCTGGGTTTGCTCCGCCGCAGCATGAGCCTCCCCGCCGCCAGCCCGCTCTTCAAGCCGGGCGAGGACTGCGCCCCTGCATGGCGCGCGGCGCCGGCCGCCTACAATGCGACCGACACACACCTGGAAATCCTGGGCAAGCCGGTGATGGAGCGCTGGGAGACGCCATACATGCACTCACTGGCGGCTGCCGCCTCCTCCAGAGGTAGCTCCCGCCCGTGCTGACGCGGGGTAAACTGAGGCTGGGGCAGGCGTTCAACCTCAGGTCCTGCCCAGGTGCTCTACCATCTCTGTGTGCCTCGGTTTCCTCGCCTGGGTAATGGGGTTGTTAGTGGGGGTAACTTAGGCAGTAAAGGAGAGGGGCGCAGGCACGAGCCCACTACCCCGTCCCCCACACAGCGGGACCTGGAACTTATTCTTCCTGGGAGATGAGGGCTCCTCCCCAGGCTATGTCTTCGGACGCGCAGCTCCAGGGTGGAAATTGGTGTTGCGGCCCCCATCTGCAGCCGGGGTGAGGATCTGGGCTTTGGGTCGTGGGCCAGGAGGCTGCCTAGCACAGCCTGGGAGGCCCCGCCCCCACCGTGGCTAAGAATAGCTGGGGAAAGCAGAGCTAGGGAGACAGCTGTCTGGTAGAGTGGTTCTGCACTGCCCAGTCCGAGCCCAAGGGGTCCCCAGGGCTCCCCCAGCTCCCGACAGGCCGGTCCAGAGCATGTGGCTCCCGCGTACTGGGCCTCAATGTTCCCACTTGGCAAATGGGCATATCCGGTGTCCCTGAGCAGAGTGGCACAGAGAAGATGGAGGAGGAACCAGATTATGCCCTCCGTGGTCTCTTCAGGCCTTGCCCGTGCAAGCTGGAAGGAGGAAAGAGGACAGAAAAGTTGCCAACTAGAGCGATAAGAGCCACAGTACAAACAGTGTGGGCTGGGGCTCAAAGTCCAAGGCCTCCCCCTTCACCCCACAGGCTGAGGCCAAACCCAGCTATGCAAGTACTCCCTGGCTGGCCACCCTCTCTCTGGTCACTGGCCAGGGCTTGTGCTGGCCCCTCTCAGGATGGCTGTGTCCACCTATCCTTGTGGTGAATGTGACCCACAGGCAGGGACCCACCCATTGCCCCGTCCTCCAGCCAGCTCCCCAGCTGGGGCCCTGTGTGTGATGCCTGGGCCCCCGCTGTCTCCACAGGGGGCCGGGTCCTGGAGGTGGGCTTCGGCATGGCCATTGCAGCCTCAAAGGTGCAGGAGGCCCCCATCACTGAGCACTGGATCATTGAGTGTAATGATGGCGTCTTCCAGCGGCTCCAGGCCTGGGCCCAGCAGCAGCCACACAAGGTGCAGCCCCCTAGCCAGTCTCCTGGGGGCCCCAGAGATGGAGGTTGGTCTCCCTTGGGACTCTCTTTCTGCAGGTGGATAGATCTTGGGGGCCTCCCTGACCTTCACCCTGTTTTTCTTTCTCTCTCCAAGGTTGTCCCCTTGAAAGGCCTGTGGGAGGATGTGGCACCCACACTGCCGGACGGTCACTTTGATGGTGAGGGGGCTCTGGGAGCTGGATGGGGAGGACACCCAACGGGGGATGTGTGGGGCTTCTGCCTACTGTTGCACCATCCTCTGCTGTGGACTCAAGGGGGCAGAGCCTGGGTGGGCAGGGACACACGAGGGCCTGGCAGGCAGGTGCGCAGTCTGGTGGTCTGGCCCTTCTGCTCTGGGATGAGCTGAGGCTGCTGGGTGACCCTGAATGGACAGGCTGGTGTCCCCATGCAGGGATCCTGTACGACACGTACCCACTGTCGGAGGAGACCTGGCACACGCACCAGTTCAACTTCATCAAGGTAGGCACTGGGCACCCATCTTTCCCAACTTGCCTGGGTGTAGCAGCCCATGGGGGGCCTGTCCACACCACAGCTGCCCTTCTGACTACTGCCCCCCAGAACCACGCCTTCCGCCTGCTGAAGCCAGGGGGTGTCCTCACCTACTGCAATCTCACCTCCTGGGGCGAGCTCCTGAAGTCCAAGTACTCAGACATCACCACCATGTTTGAGGTGAGACTTTCCTACCCTTTAGCTGGGCAGTGATGTTGGGGGCTGGGCGGCTGGAGTTGCCCTGTGCCCTGGGGAGGGCCCCTTCCTCCCACAGGCTGTGGGAGGCTTGGATTATGCTGTCATTTTCCATTTGGGAACTAGACAAGGCCCTTACCAGCTCATCCACCTCCCATGGCTCCCTAGTGCTCTTGGGTTCAGCCTGAGCTTCTCACATTCCCTCTGCCCTTCATTGCCAGGCCAGGTGCCCTCTCAGGGCTTCTGTTCACCCTGTTCCTCTAACTACTCTCCTGAAAGCCTGCCACATGCCATGGTGCCAAGACGGTGGTTTTCCAGGTCCTTTGCTGTCCTGACTCTTTTACTCTGGCACTCACTGTCGAGGATACAGGCCTGTAGGGGTGGGAGTGAGTGTCTCCCTGTCCCTGGGATGCACGTCTGGGGCTGGCATTCAAGGACACCCAGGGGCAGGAAGGTGCTGCTGCTCAGGCCTCTCAGCTGGACAGTCCTGTCCACACCTGTGGTGGGTCCCTGTGCTTCTGGTGCTGTGCTTGGGGTGTAGGCAAGGCCCCAAGGCCCTGGGGTGACTCATGCCCCTCCCACCAGGAGACGCAGGTGCCAGCGCTGCAAGAGGCGGGCTTCCAGAGGGAGAACATCCGCATCGAGGTGATGGGGCTGGTGCCACCGGCCAACTGCCGCTACTACGCCTTCCCACAGATGATCACACCCCTGGTTACCAAGCAGTGAGCGCCCATCCTCCTCGCTGTGTCTGAGAACCAGCCATGCGACACAGACGGCCTCCCTCCAGGGCACGAGGGTGAAATAAACATGGGCACTGGCCTGGATGGTGGGCGGAGTGTGCAACTCTGAGTGCCGTCACCCCGCAGGGCCTATCATCCTGCCTGACACTGTCCATGCCCTGGGCAGCCATGCCACTCACCCCAGTGGTTTGCAGTGAGGACTAAGGGGGTGCCCCTGAGGCTGGGGTGTCTTGTGGAGTCAGTCCACAATGAGTGCCTCTGCTTTCAGGTGTCTTGGCTCCCACTGTGGTCTGGCCCAATCTGTCCCCCAGGGGAGCTGCCCCTCTGCAGGAGACCCACTTTCCAGGGACCCTCCTGTGGGCTCCTGGTCAGGGACCAGGCTCAGGCCGTTCCCTCCACCTGCAGCACAGTTCCCCCTCTGTGTGGTTTTACCCTAGAAGCTGCCTTGGCTGGGGCCGGGCACCACTGTCCCCCATGTCCCAGGTGGGGAGCCACCGATATGCAGTGGCAGACACAGAGGACCTGCAGGAGGATCAGTCTCCAGGGCCCGGCCACTGAAAGTCTGCTGAATAAATGTCATCAGGAAAGCACGGACTGGAGGAGACCACGGGCCTTCTCAAGGGCTGGGCTGGGAGAGGTAGAGCCCGGGTGTTGAGGATCTCATCTGGACTGCACCCACGTCTACAGGCTGAGGGACAGCTGGCGAGGGACCCGGCCTGTCTCTTTTTAGCCCCTGACCTTGGCCATGTGTGGGTCCCCACTGCCCCTCATTCAGAAACGGCCTCAGGGGCAGCAGCCGGCCTCAGCCATGCAGCTGGCCAGAGGCCACTGCCCCCTACCCCAACCCTGAGGTGGCTCAGTGTGGGGGAGGGACAAGGGCAGGCTTTGCGACTGTGGGGCCTGAGAAGGAGACTGAGTCAGGAGACTCCAGCTTCTAGCTCCCCAAAGCCAGACTGTCCCAGGAAAGGTTGCAGCTGGGTGATGGCTCAACTGTGGGCCTTGGTGTTCTCATCCATGTAAAAGGCAGAGGAGACCCTGCCCGATGGGTGCAGGATGTCTGGTCCCCACCCACACTGCACGAGGCACCAGTGCAATCAAGGAGGTTTATTTACAATCTTGGTTTATTCACAATCTTGGGGCCACTCCAGCGGCACCAGTGCGTCAGGACCGCACGCAGTGTGGCTGTGGGCTACTACCGGCGGTACCAGATCCCAATTCTCTTCTCCCGCTTGATTTTCCGCTGCAGCTGCAGGATGCCGTAGAGCAGGGCCTCGGCCGTGGGTGGGCAGCCTGCGGGGACGGAGCCTCAGCCTCCCATCCTCCTCCCTCCCTCCTCGCACCAGCCCCTGGGAAGGTTGGGAAGTGAGGCCCTGGACTAGTAAGGGGCCCTGTGCTGGCCTTCCCTTCCCGGCCTTCCCTTCCCTTCGGGAGAGGCCTGGGACTGAGAGGGATCTCTCCACTTAGCAATTTGCAATTTCCACTAAGCAAGTTGATGTGCTTTTATAGTTAACTCTAATTCAATGTCAGACCCTCTCCCTGCCTTTTGAGAGGTGCCAGGAGCCAGGCGTCAGCCCTGCTTTCTGGCCGTGCTGACCACTGGCTGCCCTTGGGGCAGCTGATGTGTGAAGCCACGTGCAGAGGGACATCCATGGGACTGACTGCCAGGTAACTGAACCTCAAACAGCCAGTGCTTGTTAAGTATCATTTAGATATACTTTTTTGTTTTTTGGTATGGGGATCGAACTCAGGACCTTGTGCTTGTGAGGCAGGCACAGTCCCACTGAGCTAAATCCCTGGCCCTTTTTGGTTTTTTTGGAGACAGGATCTCACTGTGTAGTTCAGGCTGGCCTCGAATTCACTATGCAGTCCAGGCTGGCCTTGGACTCTTGGCAGTCCTCCTGCTTCAGCCTCTCGAGTGCTGGATGACAGGTGTGTGCCACCACACACAGCTACAATTTTTTTTTTTTTTTTTTTTTTGGTACCGGGGATCAAACTCAGGCAGAACCACTGAGCTAAATCCCCAGCCCCCAGCTACTGTTTTGAAAATTATTATTCATTGTGATTCTGACATTCAAAGTTAGCTGAGCATCCTGAACTTTTTTATTTTTCTGAGGTCACAGGGATTAGAACCACTGCCTACATTTCCAGCACTCCCCACCCCACCTGTTTTAAATATTTTTTTTGAAACAGGGTCTCTCTCTGTACCCAGGCTGTCCTTGAACCTGTGGTGATGCTCCTGCCTCAGCTTCCTGCCTCAGCATGCGCTACCACACCCAGCTCCCTTTTTATTTTGAAACAGGGTCTCACTAAATTGCTACATTGCCCAGGCTTGTGATACTCCCATCAGTCCCCAGAGTGCTGGAACGACAGGCATGCACCACCATGCCTGGTACTTTTATGTTGTATACCTGGCCACCTTGAAGATCCCCAGCCTGGAGTCTCACAGGCCCTTCTGTGAGAATGAGGACCAGGGCCAATGTCCTGCCCTCCAGAGACTTTTCTTTGTTAGTTTCAGTAACTGCATTTCTTTGGACTTTATCTCTCAGACAGAACCACATGAAACTGAAGCTGGTAACTGGCAAATGTTGGCCATTCATTCCCTTCTGCTACTCTGACTTTTTGACACGGACCAGGCTACCACCCGGACCTTCTGTCAGGGAGACCCCATGACCAAGGGGGTCAGGCCTGGGGTGGCGCTGTTTCTCCATCCACAGTGTGGATGGGGGAGGAGCAGAGTGAGCAGGCCCAGGCCGTCCTCACCTGGCACATAGATGTCCACGGGCACGATGCGGTCACAGCCCCTCACAACAGAGTAGGAGTAGTGGTAGTAGCCTCCTCCGTTGGCACAGCTGGGGGAGAAAACGCCCTGAGGGGCCACCCTGGCATTCGTGGACCCCTGCCCACCCTATCTCCTATCAGGCATCTGCCCACCAAGAAGGGGGGTTGCAGATCCCAGACAGGTGGCCAGCAGAGACAAAGCCCCTCTGGGAACCTTGAGGCGGGGTGCACAAGTAAATGTGTGCTGGGAAACAGGAAGCGCCCCCCTGGAGCTCTGATGATCAACTCCCCTGGGGAGTGTGGGGTTGGAGACCCGTTAACAAAAAGCCCCTTCAAACAGCAAAGATCAGAGCCCAGGTGTAGGGAGCACGGGAGGCAGCCCTGTCTGTGGAGCGGCGTGGAACCTCTGCCCGCCCCATCTCTGCCACTGGGGGCCACGCACTGTGGGAGACCCAGTAATGCCTGTCACTTCATCACACTGCTCACCAGGGCCAGGAAAATGGAAATAACCACTGTGTTTGGCCAGGTAAACTCTGGAATGTTCTACAGCCATTCAGAATTAGGTTACTTATAAGTCCTCACACCGGGACACCACTCAGCCAACAAAAGGAGCAAGGCTGTGACACTCCACAGCGTGGACAGACCTTGAGGACACCGTGCTCAGTGAGAGATGCCAGACATGGGAGACACAGCGTGGGTCAGGCGACTCCAGAGATGGGAAGTGGACTCCTGGGTGCTGTGGCTGGGGAGGGGATGGGTGACTGTTCATGGGGACAAATGGGGCTTTCTTTGGGGTGACAGAGTTTTGGAACCAAGTAGTGACAACAGTCATGCATCTCTTGACACTTTCAAAGGCTGCACTTACACAGCACTGAGCTGGGTGGACAGGAGGCCGCCTGGAGCTTGGGCTGTTAGTGCATGGGGAAGCAGCCTGGGTGAGGGCAATGGGCATGTGACAGGTGGCAGCTAGGTACACTGTGTGCTGAGAACGTGCTAAGGGCCTTGCCCTGTGATACCCGGACAGATGTGAGGGGCTAATGTGGGGTGGGGGCAGTACTCACCTCCCCATGGACACGACGTAGCGTGGCTCTGGCATCTGGTCGTAGACCTGGAGGAGGCGCAGTATCAGGCTCCGCATGCTGCTCCGTGTGGGTGGGAAGGGAGGGCAGGGGGGCCGGGCCTACCTTGCGGAGTGCCGGGGCCATCTTGTTGGTAAGTGTGCCGGCCACGATCATCACATCAGCCTGGCGCGGGCTGGCGCGGAAGACCACGCCGAAGCGGTCCATGTCATAGCGGGGCGCAGCCATGTGCATCATTTCCACGGCGCAGCAGGCCAGGCCAAAGGTCATGGGCCACAGCGAGCTCTGGGTGAGGGCGGGCCCGTCAGTCACCGTACACTCGGGTCTCTAGCCTCACTTTAGAATCGGAGGGCAGCGGCCAGGCTCCAGGCCCAGGAGAGGGCGCAGAACCAGGGCCATTCCCATCCACCCTCCCGGGACCGGACCCCAGTAGCCCTGGACACCATGTGCGGCTCGTCCAAGAAGCCTGCCTGATTCCTTTGCTGTCCTCCAACATTTGGTGTCTTGTTTCCCCCACACCTCCCGCTCCTTCTGACCTGGGTCTGATGCCTAGAAGTGGCCCCAATGGCCATCAACAGCTGTGTGTATGTGGCTGGGCTGCAGAGTGGTAACAGGTCACCCCTTGGCCTGGATGGCCAGGGCCACCTGGCTAGCACCTGCACCGGACAGACCCTGGCCATGTCCCTGAGCTTCGGTGATTACAAAGGACCCTGCAGCGGGCAGCTCCATGCTGGCAGCTGCGGGGTCCTGCGGGAGGCTGCCCTGGGCACAGAGCCCAATGCAGACAAAGAGGGAGGCAGAGCCGTGCACACCATCAATGGGCCATTGTGAGAATGGTATCACTGTGAGGCAGGACGCTGGGTGGAGGTGCGGGGAGTGGCTAGCTGGCCACAGGGATGGGTGTTGTGGGTGCCTGGGGGAAGGCCATGTGGACTTTTCTGAGGACCTATCCTGTTTAGCCTGCATGGCTTTTTGAAGTTAAAAATCACTTTCACACTAGAAGAGAAAAAGAATGAACGCAGAGGCCAGAATGAGACCTGTAGGAGGAGCAGCTGAGTCGCTGGGGCCAGGGCAAGGAGGCCAGGCAGTGGGGCGGGAGGAGGGTGAGCCCCAACACAGAATCGGGGGTGCTCAGGAGAGCCCAGCCTCACCCCAGGGCCCAGGGGTGGTATATGTGTCCCTGGGAAGAGGGGATAGGAGGGCTCACCCGGCGGGCCCAGTTGATGAGGTCATCCAGCTTGGCCACCACATACTCGCCGCGGCTCCTGGGGAGTGTGGGGGGCTTTGGGACCAGGGCTCCAACGTTGGCCACAGCAGGCTGGGTGCTGGGTACAGGGACACACAGGCATGGGAGGTGTCAGTGACACAGCCACGGGGTGGCCACCAATAGCCCCTGCTGGGGACCCAGCCTGGGGGAGCTGCCAGGAGGTGTGGACAGAGGAGCAGTCACAGGCAGGGTCCCTGGATAGCATGGGGTGAACCCTGAGGCCCAGCCCACAGCCAGGACTCACTGAAGGCGAGGAATGAGACATGGCTGCTCCCAGGGGCTCAGCATCCAGGACCCCAGGATGCGTGTGGCCACAGGGCTCCCAGGCAACCAGGACGCACACCCAGAAAGCACCAGAGGGAGATGTGGGGAGGAGGGTGGGGGTGGCCTCACCTGCCCGGGCCCTTGGCGGCCCAGCTCTGATGGACACCTCGCGCCTGCACAACCGCGCCCACACTGGAGCTGCAGAGACTCCAGTAAGTGGCCGCCCTGAGCCCAGAGCCCAGCCCTTCCCAGTCATCCCTTCCCACCTCAAACCCCTTGCTCCTCTGCCTGCCACCCCTCCCCTCACTCAGGCCCCAACCCGCATGATGGCTCAGATCTAACAGTTTCTCCAGGTGCATGGACCACTGACTGCCTGAGTAAGGACGATCCCGGAAAAAGCTACAGAAGGAAACCAAGACCAGGCCCACCCTGCCTGACCGAGGGGACCCTGGATGCTCTGGATGGTGGGCCTCAGGCCTCCCGAGTTGCTGGGAGCTGGCTGTCCTTGAGCCAGGCTTGCAGGATACCGTGGTGGGACAGGGGGAGTGTGCTCTGAGGGCACTGAGCCCTGCCAGTCTCTGTCAATCCACAAATGTCCCACAGAGGGCCCTGCGCACCTCTGCTGAGGAGAGATGCTAGCCCCAACCTGACCTGGCTCACTGGTAACCTTCCCCAGGGGATCCTCTGTCTGGGGGTGGGGGGTCTGTACACCCGCAGCCGAGCCTCCCGCCTGATAGGTACCAGTACTCACCGCAGGCCGAGGATCCGGATGCAGAGTGGGCCAGAAACTGTGGAGAGAATAGGGCTGGTGTGGGGTGAGTGGTGCTCGGGGCTGCAGGGCCAAGGTGCCCCGGCTGGGCCTTCCCTCCCTCCTGCCACACCCTGCTGTCTCCTCCACTCTCTCAATCCCACTCAGCAATCGCTTGGTGAGGAAGGATCTTCCAAAAGCAACTGCTTCTCTCCCTTGCTGAGGACCCTCGGCCCCCGGAAGCACACTCAGATCCTACATCAAGGTCCCCTCCCCGTGCTCACTGTGTCCCTCCTCAGGGTCTTTGCCTTGCTGCTCCCTCTGCCTTGAATGCCCTGGTGCACACACAGCCAGCCCCTTGTCCCTGAGGCCTCAGGTCAGGCACCCACTGGCCAGCCAGGCCCTCTGGGTCCCAGCACCATACCCTCTCTTATCTCTGTGCACTCACAGACCGCAGGCCTCCCCTGTGACAACAGGGCTTCCCTGCTTTGCCCTTGGCTGTGCCTGGCATACAAATGGTGCTCAGTAACTGAGGCTCTGGACACTGGGCTGGGGCTTGAGGGTTTCAGATCCTGCTGGGCACTGCCCTGTGCTCTAGGAGCATGCAGCCAGGAGGGTAGCAAAGGCACTGTCCATATCAACCGACACAGGCAAGGGCCCTCAGGAGGAGCTGACTGCAAGGGAAGATGGGGAGGGACACCCTGGATGGAGGCAGTTCTGGAAGGGAATAGCCAGGAGGACAAAGTCGGGGTGGTGGAGGTGGGTAGGGACCTTCATGAATAGTGGAGCAGGCAGACAGGCCATGGTTGGTGAACATCCAGGGCTGAACTATGTCCACTAAATGCACATGGTGAAGCCTTAGCCCCAGCACCTCAGAATGTGACTGTGTTTGGAGACAGGGTCTCTACAGAGGTAATTAACAATTAACAATGGAGGTGCTAGGAGACCGAGCTGACACACCCGGGCCACGGGGTCGGGAACTATGGTGCTTCCGAACATCCTGATCACCGGTACACTAGGAGTTGGAAAAACCACACTAGGCAAAGAACTTGCATCCAGATCAGGACTAAAGTACATTAATGTGGGTGATGTAGCTTGAGAAGGGTCATTATATAATGGCTACAATGAAGAGTATGAGTGTCCCATTTTAGATGAAGAAAAAGTAGTTGATGAGTTAGAGAACCAAATGGCAGAAGGTGGAGTTACTGTTGACTACCATGGTTGTGATTTCTTTCCTGAACGATGGTTTCATGCAGTTTTTGTGTTGAGAACAGATAACAGCATATTGTACAAAAGACTTGAAACAAGGGGTTATAATGAGAAGAAACTAGGAGACAAGATCGAGTGTGAGACTTTTCAAGTTCTTTATGAAGAGGCCATGTTATCATACAAGGAAGATATCGTGCACCAGCTGCCCAGCAATACGCCTGAAGAGTGAGAGGACAACATAAACCAGATCTTGAGATGGACTGTGCAGTGGGTCAAAGGTCACAACCCGTGACTGGTCACTTGGTGGTGCCTCTTTGCCCACCTTGTAGACAGGGCCTCCAAATATCTGTAAAAACCAGAACTATGTGGAAGGCCCAGCAGGTATTTTTATGCCTGGATTTCTTTTTCTCCATGAGAAAGTTAAACAATCACAAATATAATGAATACAATTATTATTAAGTATTTAAAATATCCATCAGTTGCTAAACAATAAATTTGATCAAATGGGTAAAAAAACCAAAAAAACAACGACGGATAGGTGAGGTCCCTGACAGGGGCCCGGATCCACGGGCCTGAAGGCCATATAATAAACAAGGGTCAGGACACAGGAACCCAGAGGGAAGACCAGGTGAAGTCCCAGGGAGAAGACAGCACCTACAAGCCACGGCGAGACATCAGGAGCAGCCCAACCTGTAACACCTTGATGAGGTGGACCTTCAGCCTCCAGGACTGTGGGTGATGAATTACGGTCATCTAAGCCACCTGAGCAAATCAGTCCAGGCCTGAGAGTCCACACAACCTCCCCCAACCCCCTGGAGCTAGCCTTCACCTCGCCCAGGGTGCTGCTTTCTGCGGCCCCAAGCAGGCTGCAAGTCTCCCAAGGACATGACAGTGACCTACTTCTTGGCAGGCGTGAGGCTGGGCACAAAGACAGATTAGCTGCCTCTCCCTGAGCCTCAGTTTTCCCACTTGAAAACTTAGAGCCTTGGAAATACAGCAAAACAAACGCCCTGCTGAGTACCTCAGAGGTGATGGGAATAGGATTTTTTTTTTTTTTTTTTGAGATGGTGGTCTCACTATGGTGACCAGACTAGTCCCAAACTCTTATATGGAAGCAATCCTTCTGCCTCAGCCTCCCAAGCAGCTGAGCCTCTCAAGCAGCAGTGTGCCAATGCACCCAGCTTTGGGACAGGTATTTTTAACAAAGGATTCCTGGTGAGAATTCAGAAGAACTGTGAGCTTGCACAGAAAAACAAATAACCTCTTCACTATCATCAGAGTCTTACTGAAAATGAGCTTTTTGTTCAGTTCTGACCCCAGAGAACGGAACACAGCAGTACTGGCAAGACCTGTAACTTTTCATCAGCAAAACCAGAGAGTCTTAACTGTGTGACAGATGAAACGGACAACTCCAAGAATCAATCGACAGTCCCCTCTGCTCCATACGACTCTGCTAGACCTACCCCAGATCTGGCATCTTGTGCATTATAACAATCAAAGCACACAGGTAACTAAGTCACCAATTAGGTTGTCTTTCTTCCTTTCCTTTTCTTTCTTTTTTTGGGAGATAGGGTCTCACTATGTATAGCCCAGGTTGACCTTGAGCGCCCAGGATCCTCCCGCCTCAGCCTCTGGAGTACTGAGATTACAGGTGTGCTCCACCACACTTCGCTACCAATCAGGGTTTTGCGACAGTATTTGATAACTGTCTCTCAGTACCGCTGGTTTCTTCTCATCCTACGATTTTATTCCATGTCACTTTTTATTCAGTCACTTTATCTGAGGAAGGGTCTACATGCTACCTTGATGCCCAAAAGGTCCTCCGAGAAGGACAGTTAGAGACACCTGCTCTGCGAGTGGCTGTGGCCCCTAGGAGCTGCAGGAAGAAGCAAGTGGGGGATGGCTCAAGTGACTGGGCCCGCTCTGAACCTCAGTCCCGCTCCTCAGCTGAGTGCAAGCCCCGCCCCGTCCTCGCGGACCCTGCCAGAGCAGCATCTCGCACCGTGCCCGCGGGCGCCCGCCTCAGTTTCCCCGACCTGCTCATCACTGGCCAGGCCGGCATGAAGAAGCCCAAAAGACACTGCGGCCTCGACACAGGCTCCCGACACCTGCAGAAACCCAGGCTATGGCGCCCTAGGTCTCCAGGGTGCCCAACGTTCCCCAGCCTGGGCTCTGGAGCCCGACGTCCCCATGGCCACCACGATCCCGGGCCACAAGGACCCCGCGAACCCGGCGCCCGGGCCCCAGGCTCACCAGTCAGCGCTGCCATCTTTGCCTCGGCCTTCAGACAACCTCTGCGGTCCGCCCTCCTAGTGCTCCGGGTCCTCGGGGCCGTCACTCAAAGCGGCTCAGGATGTGTGCAGAAACCGGAACCTGGAGTTGGGCCGTTCCGCTGCTCTTTCCACCTCCGTGTTCGTGACCACGCCACGCGTCCTCAGACCACTCGCCCCGAAAAAAGAGGACGCGGGGATAAGGGTAACAAAAGAAAAGCCATCGCGCTGTCTTTTCTGATTTCAGAAGGCAAAAAAAAAGTGGAGCGCTCCCGTCCCTGGGTGGGCTCGAACCACCAACCTTTCGGTTAACAGCCGAACGCGCTAACCGATTGCGCCACAGAGACCGCGTTGGGGGAAGCGCTACCGACGCAGCCTTATGAGGTATATGCAAGAGCCGCTCCCGGGAAGAACTGCACCTGCGCAAGGCGTCTCGCCTCTGGGCGGAGTCTAGGAGTGAGCGGCCCCTGCTGTCCGGCCGAAATAGCTCAGTTGGGAGAGCGTTAGACTGAAGATCTAAAGGTCCCTGGTTCGATCCCGGGTTTCGGCAGGGTTTTTGATGTCCTGATCCGAATGTTGGTTTCCGTCTAATCAGAAAATTCAACTGTTTGTAAATTCAACTGTTTGTCCCATTTGGAGGTTTTATGATTTCAGTGCAAACACCCTGTCCCTTCTTTCTTCACTCATTATTTAAAAAAATTTTTTTTTGCTAGGCATGGTGGTTCAGGCCTGTAATCCCAGCACTCGGGAAGCTGAGGCAGGATTGCCACGAGTTCGAGGCCAGCCTGGGCTACCTAGTGAGTTGTAGGCCACCATGAACTACATACACAGTGAGACTCTGCCTTCCAAAAAAAAAAAAAAAATTGGGAGGGGGGCTGCTGAGGGTGGATTCTATATTGTTTAAAATTGCTAGGTCTAGAGCCAGTACTGATTGTCAAATGTAACATAAATACCAACTAAATAGAGTTGGCAAAAATACTTTCTACTTGCATGTTCTTTTTTCTTTTCTGGTACTGGCTTTGAACCTAGGGTCTTTGCACTGAGCTACACTGCAAGCTCTTTTTAAAAAATTTTTTTGACACAAGGTCTTGCTAAGTCATGAAATTGCCCAGGCCGAGCTCAAACTTGAGATCCTCCTGCCTCAGTCTCTCAGATGGGATGACAGGCCTGTGCCATTATGCTCGGCTCGGGAATTCTATTGAGTGACACAAAACAGACTAAGTCCTTTTTCTGCCCTGGTACCCCATCACAGCCCTGCATGACATCTGGTTATCATGTCTCCGGGGCCCTCTTTGGGAGGCTGCTATTGCTGGGGACCAGCAGGGGATAGAGATTAATTCAGGGCCCTAGGGGACAGGCTGGCTGCCTCCTGCTTGTGTGGGTTCGTCACCTTCCCGGGATGCTGTGTGACTGCCAAGGCCAGGTGGGCTGCTCACTCTGAGGGGAGCCTGTGTAAGCTGGATGCGGGGGGTCGAGGGAACGGAGGGCTTCAACACCCCTGCCCACCCTCCAGAGACGACACCCTGAGCTGCCAGCCAGGCTGCTCCTGGGCCCTGGGCTATGGGAACCATGAGAAGGAGCTATGTTTCCCACAGTGAGGTTTTGGGGCGATTTGGCCTGGAGGACAGGGTGGGAGCTGTCCCTGATGACAGCGGCTAAAGTGAGGTGCAGGGTTGAAGGGGAAAGGGTGAAAGGGGATTGTAGAGGGAAGGGGCAATGGAGGAAGAAGGGGGGGAGGGGGTGTGGTGCGACAGCCAGGGTCCCAAGCAGAGGTGGCTCCTGAGGGTGGCACTGTTGGATGTTGAATGTGTCCCTGAGGTGTGGGCCATGTGTCCTCTCCTGCTCCTGGAGCTGCCAGAAAGCTAGGACATTTGATGCTGGGAAATGTGATTTCTCCTCTTCCAGATCTGGAACAAGTAACACCCATTTTGGGAAGGGGGTCCCCAGGGACACGGGGAGAGGGGCGGCTCCCAGGTTCCCTGAAAGGGTGGCAGAGGAAGATGGGGAGATGGCATCAGGGCTGGAACAGGGACTGGGAAATAACAGCCATCTCTACCCCAAAGAAGGGAAGGCAGCCAGGCCCCAGATGGGTTGTAGACAGCTGCACTCCAGGGTACACTGGTGGTGTCTGGGGACACATGGGGAGCTTCTGGCATGGAGTGGAGTGGAGGCCAGAGACTCCGTCCAGCACCTGCAGTTCCCAGGATGACCCCCAGAGGGCGCCCCGGGCCCAGTGTGCACAGCACTGAGCAGGGGACCCAGGCATTAGGGGAAATGGGACCATGGAGAACACTGGGTCACCAGCAAGTGTGTGACCGACACCCCCAAGCAAGAGGCAGGTGTATAGGAGGATGGGGAGCCACACTGCATCCCTTGTAGACACGGATGGGTTGAGTCTGGCCTCTTGGTGCCTTGGAAGCAGCCAGTCATGCTGGTCACCCCTGGGAAGCCTCAGGTGCTCCTCAGCTCAAGCTTCTAGAACTTTCCTGACTGGGTGCCCTGTGGCCAAGGGACATTTTGGGGCCTAAACACCCTCTGTATACTGAGGGAAATGCCCCATTGAAGCAGGCCTACCCCCACGGAAGATGGGGAAATGGAGGGGCTGCTCTCTGGCCCTGCTGGCCTGGATTTTGTTTCCCTGACAGATGGGTACTTTCTTGGTGATGCTCATGCAGCCGAGTCTGTCCACAGAGACCCACCTGCCTCCTGGCCCAGCCGGTATCAGGACACAGCAGGCCTGGTCACTATGCTCAGCCCCGATTCTCACCCCTCTCCCAGGGAACAAAATGAGTTTTGTTCAGAAAAGCCAGGTCTTCTAAAAGCCATTTAATTCAAGTTGTAAGGGCTAGACAATCCGATCCTCAGGACACAGCGCAGGGAGGCCCAGAGACGGAGATATAGAAATACTTTGTGACACAGCTGGGTGCCATGGTGTACACAGGTAAATCTAACACTATGGGAAGCTGAGGCAGCAGGATCAAAAGTCTGGGCACAGCATGAGCACCTCAGCAAGACTGTCTCAAAATAAAAAAGGGATGGGGATGCAGCTCAATGTAAAGCAAAGCCCTGGAACCAATCCTTAGTGAAGAAAAAAAAAAAAGACAGACTTTGTGACAACAGCAATCACACACAAGGACTCCACTTTCACAGGACCTTGCCCCGCCAGGACGTCACGGGTGTTTGTGTGCAGCATTGGCTACTGAGCAACGCAGACAGGAGGCCCAGGGCCAGGTCCCCATGGCCAATGGGGTGAGCTTTCCCAGGAAGGAGGGCGAGAGGGAGGTGGCCCCTCCTCAGGGAGGACAGAGCTAGGTGACAGGCATGGCGCTGGCAATGCTCCGCTGAGACCCTGCCTGGGACATGGACCCTGCAAGTGGCTGGAGGCAGAACAGCCCAGCTGGGCCAGTTTTGCATCTCAATTCCCCCTCCATCTCCTTGGAGATCCCAGCAAAACCAACTGCAATGAAATGGGCCAGTGGAACCTTCTCAGGCCCGGAGCCATCATGTTCCTGCCCCCTACTTGGAATGGGTGGCCTGGGCACGTCACTCTCTCCAAGGAACAGTGACAGGGACCATGCTGCCGTCTCTGCCCCTACTCCCTCCACACCTCTGGCACGGGGTGAGGGGGACAGTGGGGAAGAGGTCCCAACCTCACAAACCCAGGTCTCCAGAGGGGACAATCACAACTCAGCGGAGGGACAAGTAACAATAACCACACCCAGCAGAGGCAGATGGCCTTCACCTCTGCCACAGTCTGAAAACTCCCTTGGCCACACTGACTTCACGCAGAGGAGCCTAGAGCATCGGATAGAGTAATTCATCGAGCTGTGGCCCTGACTGTGACAAAATCTCTGGACCATGAGGCCATGGGGCTGCCCTGAACCCGGTCCTTGTCCCCATGCTGTGGCTAGAAAAGCCTCACTGCTGCAGGGGCCAGGGCCAGGGCCAGGAGCAAGGGGTTTTTCTCACACTACTGCCACCTGGTCCACAGCTCCTATGGTGACATGGAGTGGGGTGGAGGCCATTCTGGGATCCCACGGTAACTGTCCAGGTAGCATACAAAGACCTGAGGGGCTGGCCGTGCAGAGACAGCACAGCCAGGGGATGGGGGGCCAGGGCAACCTCGGTGTCCAGCTGCAGGCTTAGTCTCCTGCCTTCCCCTATACGACGTCCTAGCAACGCTGGCCTTTGGTGCTGTAGTCACAGAGACAGCAGGGGTGGGACAGGAGACTCCCGAGGTGGGCTGGGGGACTACACAGAGGGGACTGTGACAAACAAGACCAAAAGACACATGGATGCTCCACAGCCACCCATGACCCAGCCACATCAGACACTTTCTAAAAACTCTCATTTAATACTGGATGTGATGTGTGACATAAAATACGTGTGCAACTCATATCAAACTATACAGTCACAACGGACGACGTAAAATACAGGGATTTTAAACATCTCAGGAAATATATATTCCGGAAAACAGCAACACAGAGACTGGCTTTTGCTGGCCATGACACAGTCTCTTCTGACTGTGAATGGGAGGGTTGGAGCCATGGGCACCTGACAGATCCCGGGGTCCGTGTCCTAGAGCGGCCCACGCACAGGAGGGGGTGTCCCCGTGCCAGCCACTCTCGGGCCATGTAGAGCGTGTGCCTCGGCTCAGATGCTTGCATGGGTGCACATCACCGGCGGCGCCGACTCCTTTCTTCCAGGACCTGATTATCAAATATTTGTTTTTCCCTGCAGAAAACAGAAGTTGATATATCACATGAGTGATTAATCATGGAGTTTGCAAAGAGCATGAGAGGTGGGCGTGGTGGCACACACCTGTAATCCTGGCACTCGGGAGGCTGAGCCAGGAGGATCCCTGAAATTTTAAGGCTAGCCTGGGTTACATAGTGAAACTTCTCAAAAAAATTAAAACAGACAGACAAGAAAGATGGTTCTGGGGCCAGGCGTGTAGCTCAGTTATCCCATGCCTGCCTGGCAAGGCCAAGGTCCTGAGTTTGATTCTTGGTATCAAAAAAAAAAAAAGAAAGATGGTCCTGGTTCTGGTTCTGGGCACAATAGTGCACATCTGTAACCCTAGCACTTGGGAAATGAGGCAGAAAAGACTGCAAGTTTGAAGCTGGGCTGGGTTATACAGTGAGTTTGAGGCTAGCCTGGACAACACAAGACCAGGTCTTTTAAAAAAAGGATACAGGGGCCGGGGAACTAGCTCAGTGGTTCCAGCAGCTGCTTCACAAGCGCAAGGTCCTGAGTTCAATCCCCGGCATCAAAAATAAATAAATAATTTTTAAAAAGAGTACAGATGGCCAGGAATTCAGCTTAGTGTTTCACTGCCTGCTGCGCAAGCGTAAGGACCCGAGTTCAATCCCTAGTACCAAAAAGATAAAAGGAGGGGCCGGGGATTTAGCTCAGTGGTTCCGCCGCCTGCCTAGCAAGCACAAGGACCCGAGGAGTTTGATCCCCAGTACCAAAAAAAATAAAATAAAGAAAGAAAGAAAGAAAAGAAAAAAGGGTACAGGGCCAGGGATTTAGCTCAGCGGCACTGCACCTGCTTGCAAGGTCCTGAGTTTGATCACTGGTACCAAAAAAGAAAAAGGGGTACATTTTAGGTTATTTGTGTGTGTGTGTGGTGCTGGGGATGAAACCTCAGTCCTCATGCATGCTAGGCAAGAGCTCCATCACTGAGCTGCAGCAAAATCCCCCAAATTTTTTTCATTCCAACCAAATATTAAAGCACATGAAATATTAATTTTTTCCTTGATGATCTCTTCCTATGCTGGCCTTGAACTTGAGATCCTCTCACCTCAGCCTTCCACCAAGTAGCTGTGAGAAGAGGCATGGCCAGCACTGAGCTCCCCTGGTGGACCCTGAGTGTCCTCATCAAATGACAACTGCTTAGCAGCAACCTCTCCCAGGAAGCAGGGCTGCCTCATACAGGGAGAGAAATGAGATAGGCTGGTTTTCGAATTGGCCTGTGTAGAACACGTGGCCACTGGGTGAGGGGCAGAGAGATGACAGAGGCTGCCCTGGAATGCACACGTGCTGCTCCGGGACAGCCTCTCAGGAGGAGCCGCTGTGTGGATCTACTGCAGTCTGATATAGGAGACAGGGCGGGGCGAAGCTGGCTGGGAAAATGAGTGGGACCTGTCAATTACAAGATCCCACAGCAAGGGAGGGTCCCTTATGTAGAACTTCTCGCGAGCTTCCGCGAGATGTGGACGGCATAAAAGAGCGGCCATTATGGAAAGCCGCTATGGAGCATGCCTTTGCCTGCCTTTGCCCCGTACACCGTGTCGCCTCTGAATGTGTACTTTCATTTTTGCTGTTACCCTTCATTTTCTCTTTATTTGGCCCAAGTTCACTCTGCAGAGCTGGTTTCTCCCATACCCATTTACTTTTCAAATAAACTTTCTGACACCATTATTGTCTTGTCTGGTTTAATTCTTTGTTCAAGACAAGAAGAACCTGGAGTACTTTCGATGGGCGAGCCATTTCTAAAGAAACCACCCTACAACATAACACTGAGTCAGGGGGGACATCAGGGGAGCAAAAACCAAAAAAGAACACGAGAATGTCACAGATACTGCGATGGTGGGCAGGCCAAGGCCAAGGTGACAAGTGGCTGCCACTGGGACCACTTCCCTGTGAACGCCCAGCCTCATTAAGCTCTGAACGGAGGCACCGAACATCCTTGTTGTACATTCTCACAGGCACCGTGAGCTGTCAACCAGAAGGAAACCAGGAGAACTAAAGGCCCTGGGATGACAGCACATGCACCCTCCCATGACCACCACTTTCATTCACGTGTTAAGTGAGTCAAGGCAGTACATACCTCCAACAGCCCATGATAAAAACGTCAAGTCTATTTCCAAAGACCCTTCCAGTTGTGCAGGTTGGGGACGGCGCTGTACTGGGGAGTGAACTCAGGGCCTTTGGACTGACTACATCCTTAGCCTCTTTTTACCTTTTGAGACAGGATCTCACTAAGTAGTAAGTTGCCCAGGCTGGGCTTGAATTTGGTATCTTCCTGGCTCAGCCTCCCAGAAAGCTGGATCACAGGTATGTGCCACCATGCCCAATGGCCCTTCTAGTTCTATTAATTCAGCTGGGTTGAAACTCCTGCAAATAAAGCCAAATTTAATCTCTTTTGGACAGTTTTGCAGTGACTTTCAGACACCATGAGCCCAAGGGACATGTTGGCACCACCACCCTGCCACGGAGGACACCGGACTCCCGAGGGCACCACAAGGTACACACCAGCCCCCAGGGACAGTGTGCCCGGAGGCAGAGGGGCCAGGCATGCAGCCAGGGTGGTGAGCACTGGTTGGGGACCCTGCCCTGCAACTCCTGATCCATCTTGTGGCTGTCACTGCCCTGCAGCCCCACCGGCTCCCAGCAAGGCCTGGCAGCATGCCCAGAGGCGGATTAGGGGCTGGGGGCCAGAGATCCAGGCAGCTCGACGTGCGGAAACATCTCGATCACAGCCTTCACTCTCCTGCCTGGTGCAAAGGCTGCTTCTTAATTTCGCTATTTTCTCCACCAGCCTGGCACAGCAGGGAAGAAAACCCAGAGCATGCCCACCCCAAGCAGGAGATTAGGGAGACGCAATCAGGGATGCAGCCAAGCACGCGACCAGGTTGCCTGGCCTGGAGGACATGGGGCCGGGACGGTCTGCTCCAGGGAAGATGTGGTGAGGCCTGGCTTAGGTCCAGCTTGCCTGCCACAGGCCAGCTCAGAGACCCTGGCCACTCCCAACTCCTGCTGGAAGATGGGAATTTCTGTCACCATGAACACCAGCAGCCCCAGGGGAAAGGCTCAAGCCTACCGGTAGCCGAGCGATGGTCCCTTTAGGTACTTCTCCTCAGCCGTCTTGTAGTCCACCGCATCCACGGCAGAGATGGCGCAGATGATGGCCTGCAAGAGGACACAGAGTGCTGGACCGGAGCAGCAGGCCATGGCTCCAAGCCATGCACACTGTGATCCAGAACATAGCTGCCTCTAGTGAGATTCCCTAGTCGAATCAGTAACACCTCCTTTTGGATTGGAGAGGAGTTCAGCTCATTAACAGTAGGGAGTAAAAGACAGGGCTCAAACCCACAAGGGCATTTCTAAAAATTTGAGAGTTTACCCTTAAAAATAAAGAAAAGAGGGCCAGGGATTTAGCTCAGAGTCACCGTGCCTGCCTCGCATGCACAAGGTCCTGAGTTCGATCCCAGGTACCAAAAAAAAAAAAAAAGCAAAATACACACTTATTCTTATTCCCCCCAAAAAACTCTAAAAGACACAATAAAGAGCAGCTAAGTGTGGCAGTTTATACCTATAATCCCAGCATTCTGAGAAGGTGGGACAAGAGGATCACAAATTCCAGCCCAGCCTAGATGATTTAGCAGAACATTGTATCAAAATAAAAAATAAAAAGGTATGGGAGTATGGCTCAACATTTCCTACGTGTGATCCCCAGTATGGGAAAAAAATATATTTTCACATATGATAAATGTCTGATATTGATGAATCAGCATTAATTGTCACAGGTGATACAGCCGTATTTTAGTTAAGGCAAACAGTTCTTAAAGAATCCTTAAGGAAGTGGGCATGCAGATGGCACATGCCTATAATCCCAGCCCTTAGGAGGCTGAGGCAGAAGGACTACCATGAGTTGAGGTCAGCCTGGGCTGCACAGTGAGTTTAAGGCCAGTCTGAACTACACACTATGAGACGCTGTCTCAAAAAACCAAAGGAAAAAAAAAGAATCCACATGGAGCCCAATGTGGGGGCACATACTTGTAATCCCCAGCACAATAAGGGAGGCAGAGGCAGGAGAATTGCAAATTCAAGGCCAGCCTGAGATACATAGAATACAGTTTCAAAAAAAGAAAACCAACAAAAACAATGAATCCTTACAGTTGAGAGCAGGTGCCGCTCCACCCCAGCTGGGGGCACTGAGGGCAGGTTGTTCTGTGGGGTGCGCATCCTAAGCATTGCAGGGTGCTGAGCAATCTCCCTGGCTTCCACTGCTCCAGCCCAGGAGCTCCCAAGTTGTGACAGCCATAAATGTCCCCAAACACTGCCCAGTGTCCAGTTTTAGAGATATACACTGGAATACTTAACAGTAAAAAGGGCTTTTTTTTTGGTACTGGGGATCAAACTTGGGACCTCGTGCTTGCGAGGCAGGTGGCGGAACCACTGAGCTAAATCCTTGGCCCTTTCAGCTGGAGGTTTTTTTCTTCCCCCAAAATAATACAGGGGCAGCCCAGGGATTTAGCTCAGTGGTGCCGATGCGTGCCTCGAAAGCGCAAGGACCCGAGTTTGATTCCCGGTACCAAAAAATAATAATAATAATGCAGGGGGCAGCGGGCACAGAGTTCACTGTGCTATTTTATTTTTGAATCTACTTAAGAATTCCATCAACTCCAAGGTCAAATGACTTTGACGGTGTTCTTTGCAGACTCACATTCCCACCCCACCATGCTCTCTCCTCACCAAGCTCTGCGCCTGGCTCATGGTCATGGCCATGCTCAAGGTCACAGCCAGGGGTATGCCTGCTCAGCAGGATGAGAACTTTATTTTATGGTGATACTGGAGACTGAACCCTTCTACCACTGAGCTCTATGACTGAGCTCCATGCCCAGCCCTTTTTATATTATGATTATTATTTTTTTTAGAGACAGGATCTTGCTAAGCAGCCCAGGCTGGGCTCAAACTTGTGATCCTCCTGCCTCAGCCTCCAAGTAGTTGGGATCACAACTGTGTGGCACTGTGCCCAGCAGGAACTCTTTCCTGAGTGCCTTCTGAGAGGCCAGTATCTGCATGTGCACAACCAAAGGGCAGAGCTTGCTATACGTTTGACCCCAGCATTGATAGCGAGGGTGAGACACATGGGTCCTGTCCCTTAACCCACAATGTGGCAGAGAGACTGAGGGGCAGGCAGATTCTGGAGTGGCCGGAATGGCAGCAGGCCCAGCGTCCCCGCCCACCCCACCACTCACTTCGGGTAGCAGCACATCCAGGATAAAGCGGATGCGGTCGCCGCTGGCCCTCGCCAGCTTGTCACCGTCCATGTCCTGGTAGACGCCCTGCAGGTACTTGACCACGCGGTCCAGCTGCTCCTCGTCCTCCAGGTATGTCTCCATGCACGTCACATACTGGCCCGAGCTCAGGAACATCTTCAGCCACCGAGATGGCTTGCCACTCTTTAGGATGGCATGAAGGTGGCTCTCAGCACCTCGGGCCTTCACGATGTACTCCACCAGCTTCTGGTTGGCGCGGTCCCGGGCGGCCCGTGAGCGGTCAGGCAGCACCTTCCTGCAGGGCCGCCTCCAGCCCAGGGGGCTGTTGCCCTCTGGCTCCTCAGGGTCCGCCCTGCTCAGCTGGGGGAACCTGGTCCCCTCAGCATCCTGCTGGATGGATTTCCGGACAGGGTAACCTGCAGGGGAAAAGCTCAGTGTGGGTCTAGGCCACCTCCCTTCTGAAGCCCAGTGTGAGCTGCATTCATGGAAAAGCGCAGGTGAGCACCAGAATGTGGGACAGGGAGTGCACACCAGGACCCTAGGAGCTGCTGGAGGACTGTCAGCTTCCTGAAGACCTCTCCTAAGCCAAGTCTGCTGGCACATACCTGTGATCCCAGCTACTCAGGAGGCTGAGGCAGGAGGATTCAAGGCCAGCCTGGACTACATATTAAAACCCTGTCTTGGGCTGGGAATTTAGCTCAGTGGTTCCGGCACCTGCCTCACAAGTGCAAGGTCCTGAGTTCGATCCCCGATACAAAAAAACAAAAAACTGTCTCCAAAACCCCAAACCCAAACCAAGACCTTTCCACTGACAGGATCCCTGACCTATCTTTCCTAATTAATTGGAGGAATTACACAGCAAGACCCTGTCTCAAAAAAGCTAGAAAAACTAAAAACAATGGGCTGGCTATGAAAAGCACTGGTGGGACATTCTAAAATTCAGACAACATTCCTCAACTACCTGACCTCTACGACCACCCACCATGGCAGAAAGAATGTGGACTGGGCTCGCAGACGAGGGGCAGGAGGGCAGCCGACAGGTCCCTGGCAGGCAAGGGCAGCCTGCTGTATTTGGAGAGGTCAAGGTCACATGGGGTCACTCGGTTCTGCTGGGATGTGGGTGGCACCCTCCCAACAAAGCTTCCCACAGACTCAGACTCGGAGGACCACGGCTTCTTAGGGCTGAGAAGCAGATGCCATTTTCAGGCGCTGGAGGCAGACTTACTGATGTCAGCAGCGAAATATTCCAGAAAGGAGCCAGTGAAAGAGCCACAACCTGCAGAGTGGGGTAGGTTGCGGGGGACAGAGAGAGGCATTCAGAGCCCAGGGCCCGGCTCTGCACCTGACCCGGTCCATTTCCTCCATCACACGTGTCCACACACAGCAGTCGGGACAGGCAGAAACTCCAAGTTATTCTGCTTCGTCTTATTTTAGGAGAGGATGATTATGGGCCTGGCTGGAGCAGCAGGGCAAGCCCTGGGATTGGGGCTCAGTGGCACCGCCCGTCAGCCCTGTTCTCCAGAGGTCCCTCTGCCCACCAGGGCACCCCACATACCTAGCCGCACCCGGTAGTCGGTGATGAGGGAGATGCAGCAGCCAATGGCCTGGTCGAAGTCCTCTTTGGCTTTGTCCTGCAAAACCCAGATGTGAGGGCATTGGTGGGAGCCGAGCCTCAGAGCCCTGGACACCCCAGGTACCTTTGGGCAGACCTCATACTCCCCGAGCCTCAGTGTCCCCAACCTCTGAGGGGCCTGGTGTGGGCCCCAAGCTGTTTGACCACGGCCACCAGTGACCCCGTCACTTAAGCCAGCCTCAGGAGTGGTCAGTGAATAAACACCTCCAGGTGGCCCAGTGCTCTTCTCAGACTGACATGGAAGTCAGGACACCCCTCTGAGAGAGCTGTGTGCCTGTGCTGCGGCTGCACACTGCTTGGGACCTGGCAGGGTCACCAAGGGACACACTGTCCTTGGGAGGACAATACCCATGGACTCCGTCCTCCTGTGGCAACTGTGAGTTGGTTCCAGAGAGCCAGACGGTGTCACAGGGGACCCTCAGGGCAGGAAGCTGGGCACCATGGCCTGCCTGCCTGTGACCACAGCCTTGATGGTGGCAAGAAGGTAACTTTGCTGGTGTCAGAGACCAGAGTAGGCAGCTACAGCTCCAGGGGCACACATGGGACCAGGGACGGCTACCAGCCCAGTGTACAGAGCTGGCCCCGTCACACAGTGGGCTGAAAGCCCTGGCCAATGCCCAGCACCAACCTTACATACAGCCTCCCTAAAATTGCCCCTCAGAGGCCTCAATTCCAACCACTTCAATATTTTGGGCACCGGGGCTCAAGCTCAGAGCATCACGTGGTCTAGGTGAGCGCTCTGCCATGGAGCGACACACCAGCCCCAAGGGCTTAAGGGCATCGATGTCAGCATCGCTGGCCACCCAACTGCACAGTGGGGCTGAAACTGTTTTTCTCAGAGAAAAGGATGCTAACCAGCCATAGCAGCGCACACCTGTCATCCCAGCCACTCAGCAGGATGTGACCTCAGCCTTAGCAATTTAGCGAGACTCTGCCTTAAAATAAAATTTAAAAAGGGGGCTGGAGACATAGCTCAGTGGTAGCAGACCCCTGGGTTCAATCCCCACCATCACAGAGAAAAAACAAACAAGACGCTGGCCACTGGACGCCTCCACAAGGCAGGGTCCTCAAGGACAATGCCCGATTTTCTCATCACCTGGTTTTTGGTGATAAACTAAACGTGTTTAAGGCACATGGAGCTCCAGCCAAGGAGATGCTGCTCTCACTGGAGCCCATGCCTCCCCCTGCTTTGGCCCCAAGAGCAGAATGAACACCTCCCAGATGGGTGGAGGGAGCTCAAGTGAGACAAAGCCCCCCACCTCTCGCTGTGCGTGGATCTGAAATTAGGGGGCACAGAAGCCACGGACGGCCACCCTCTGCCAGATCAGGACCTGCCCAGTGGTATCCTGGGTGCCTAACAGAGGGCTATTGGTTCCACCTTGCAGGGAGCAAGCTGAACAGGCAAAACGGACTGGGATCAGGCTTGGCATGTTGGGGACAGACAAGCTACTGATGGGTCAAAGAATTCGACATTGGAAAAAGGAAATGGGAGAGGGCCGTGGTGGTGCACACCTGCGATCCCAGCACTCTGAGAGGCTGAGGCAGGAGGACTGCAAGATCCAGCCCAGCCTGGGCAACTTAGTGACCTAGTTAGACTCTGTCACAAAATAAAAAACAGAAAACAAAAAGAAAAAATAAAAAAAGAAATGGGGACTGAGTAGCTCAGTGGTGAGCACGTGTTCAGCAGGTGCAAGACCCTGGGTTCCATCCCCAGCAAAAAAAAAAAAAAGAGAGAGAGAAAAGTCCACTATGGTCACCACGAAGAGCCTCCAGCTCCCCGGGATACACCCAGCACCCAGAAGCTCCCTTCAAAAGCCCTCAGAGCAACAGTACGACCAGCTGCAGAGGGCCCCAGGCCAGCATGGCCCTGCCAGTCATCGTGGGGCACACAGGCCTGTGTCACTAAACTCAAAGGTCAAGAAAGCTGAGTGCCTGACTGCCGAGAATTGAAAATCCCTATACCAAAAAACAACAACAAAAAAGAAAATCCCTATACCAAGGGGAGGTGGTGTCACAGAAACCTGACAGCTACCTGCCACAGTTCTGTTTTCTCCTTTTTGAAATCAGACCCTTTTTTCCATTACTAGGGATTCAATCCAGGGCTTCTACCTTCCCAGCCTTTTGTGTTTCTTGAGTCTTGCTAAATTGCCCAGGTGGGCCTTGATTTCTCAATCCTCCTGCCTTCGCCTCCTGAGAACTCTGGATGTATAAGTGTGTCCCACCACACCTGGCTGAAAAAGACATTTTTTCACTGGCAAAGTCAACAGTGTGTGATGACAGGCTGACCACATCGTGGGAGGCACAGAAGTAGCTTGTTAGCCATCTGCCATGTGACACTATGCTAGACCAGACTCACGCCCGACACTCAAAGCCTGCTTTTCTCAGGGCAACAGCCCAGGCACAGGGCCCCAGATTCCGGAGCTCTCGGCCCAAGCACCCCATCCTTCAGGCCAAGGAAGAAATGGCCCTTTATCTGGGCTCCTCACCTCCGCCTGCCCAGGCCTATCTGCCCCCTCTAAAATGGAGGGATGGGCCTAGCGACTTCCCAGGATGGCCATGACTAATCCTGAGCCTGACCAGGCTCAAGGTAACATGATTATGGGAGCAAGCGCACAACAGTCCACCTACCAGAAGCGCCTGCTTCTCCTTACAGTCAAAGTGCTTCAGTCTTCTGAGCGACACGGTGATGCTGGCGGAGCGGAGAGAGGTGACAATTAGCTCAAGGGACTTCATCTCAGCGCCTCCAAGCTTCTCATCACCAGGCATCAGCACAGGGCTGTGTGGCCTTGATAGGCCCCAGTCCCTCATGGAGGTGACCATGTTCTAGCTGCCCAAGGGACCCTGTGGAGCCAGGCCTGGAGCTAACAGGGTACAATGACTTCAGCTAACTGTGAGGGGACCATGGAAGGGTGGCAGGGGCCCCGGTCCCTCACCTACACCCCAGTGGCCATTGGAGGAGGCAGGAAGCACAGAGGGCCGGCGGAGACTAGTTCCACACAGTGTCCTGGCAAAGGTGCTGCCTCAGCTTGCACAGGGACCCAATGGGAACCCTTGGCTCAGGTGGGGACACTGTCTCCAGGGACCAAGCTTTATTAAGTGGGATCCGCAGCGTCTGCTCGGGCTGCCTTTTAGTGCCAGCAAATGAACTTCGGAAAACAGGAGAGATGGGCCATCTCCTCTGCCTGGTGAGGGCCCGACCCCAAGATCCTTCCACCTACTGGGCTCCCGACCCTTCCACCTCGTCTCCTCTTTGCAGAAAGAGCACTTTACCCACGCCCTTTGGGGTTCATGTCCCGCTCGATGAAGAGCACGCTTGCTTTCTTCTCCCGCCGCTTCACGCTTTTGACCTGGCAGCGAGTCCCAAAAAACACGGCGTCACAAACATGTATGGGGCCATGGGTTTCAGGCACCCCTGACACCCCCGCATGGGGGTGGAGGGATGTGATCAGACAGGACCACTGCACAAAATGCTGGGGGCCTGGCCTACTCTGTGCAGTGTCACATCCAAGCAGAATCCGGGGTTTCTGTTTAGGTTTTTTGGGTGGAGGGGTATTGGGAGAGGATCTCACTCACTGGCCCAGGCTGGCCTTGAACTTGCACCGATCTGCCTGCCTCAGCCTCCTGAGTGCTGGGATGACAGGTGTGCACCACCATGCCCAGCTCTGCTTTCATTTTTTTTTTTTTTTCGGTACCAGAGATCGAACTCAGGACCTTGTGCTTGCGAGGCAGGTGCAGCACCACTGAGCTAAATTCCCAGCCCTGCTTTCTTTTTTTTTTTTTTTTTTGGTACCAGGGATCAAACTTGGGTCCTTGCGCTTACACAGCAGGCGCTGGAACCACTGAGCTAAATCCCCGGCCCAAAAATTATTTTATTTTTGAGACAGGCTCTTTTTTTTTTTTTTTGGTACCAGGGATCAAACTTGGGTCCTTGCGCTTACACAGCAGGAGGCGAAACCACTGAGCTAAATCCCCGGCCCCTCTGCTTTCATTTCTCAATAAAAGACCTGGCATACACTGAAGTGGCCACCTCCCAGCACCAGCATCGGGCTGGCTCTCCAGCAGTCTGACAGAGCACAACATCACGGTCCTAAACCAGGGGCTCTTGGACCCAGGACCCAGTCACGCAAGTGAGCTGCCAGCCCAGCATGGACTCCGGAAGTAGAGGGAAACAAGGGTGCACTAGAAAGGTGCAGGGAGCAAGATGCAAGCCAGGGAGGCCAGAAGGGGCCCTTCACGCCGACTCCTTGCAGCCAGGCCAAGGGGCACCCCAGGGTCCCCGTTCATCTGCATGGGCGGCACAGACAGAGCCCTGCCTGCCTCTTCTGTCATCGCAGCCAGCTCTGGGTGGGGACACCTTGGTGGCATGGGTCAGGCCAGGGCCGTTAACACAGCAAAAGCATTTCTTGCTGATTGCAGAAAACCTTCTGGATAGAAATGGCATCGCTTCTTGATTAAAAAATTATCAACAACCAGGTCTGGGGCTGAAGCCCACCAGTGAGTGCTTGCTGGGCCTGTGCAAGGTCCCGGGTTCATTCCCAGAACTATAAAAAATAAAATTAAGGTATTCAGCTCAGTGGCACTGCACCTGCCTCACAAGTGGAAGGTCCTGAGTTTGATCCTCGATACTGGAAATAAATAAATAAAATAAAATTAAGTTAAATTAAAAAAAGACCTTAACAGCTGCACCTAAAATAATCAGAATTCTGTCTATGCCAGAAGATGACACAGGGGTAAAACATGAAGGAGAAAAAATGGGCCCAGACAGCACCTTTGGCCCCCAGAAATAATTAGCAACGTGCCACACCCAGGTGTATGGAGAGTGGAGTCTGGCCAAGCCTGGGCTCATCAACCTCACAGGTGAATTTCCGCTCACCTGCAAGCACTTCTTCCTATATATACACAATTGACCCCTGCCACAAAACCTAAATTGATGTGCTTCAATGAGGGGGATAAAACTTGATTTGCACAATATTTAACACTGTGAAGCAAAGGGCTGACCCTTTCTATTTTTAGTGTACTGAGGACTGAACCCAGGGCCTTCTCACTGACCTACATCCCTAGCCCTTTTTTATTTTGAGACAGGGTCTTGCCAAATCACTAAGTTGCGCGAGCTGGGCTGGAATTTGGCAATCTTCCTACCTCAGGCTCCCCAGAGTGCTGGGATGACAGGTATGCACATGACACTATTTTTTTTTGGTACCGGGGATCAAACTCAGGTCCTTGCGCTTGCGCAGCAGGCGGCGAAACCACTGAGCTAAATCCTGGCCCTATGACACTTTTTTTAAGCATGTTTTTCTAAGACTGCCTGGTACAAATTTGGCCTGTGAACCTCAAACTAAACTGCACCAAACTGATCAAACCCCTTTGTTAGGTAATTATGTCCCTGGCCTCCTTTTTATCACTCCACCAAGTTTTCTAGCAATAACAAAACCTCAACACTACCCACCCGGGTTAGAGGATGGGGGTGTGAGGGACATGGGAACCAACTGCTCAAAGAGGGGAAGAGGTCGCTCTTACCACTGCTGGCCAGAAGGGATATTTTTGGTATTTAAGCCAGACTAGCATTCCTACTTCAAACGACCGCGGTTCTAGAATTAAAAAAAGGAAAGAAAAGAAAAACAAAACTGAAAAAGAGAAAAGAGACACGTGAAATCCCTACCAAGCAGTAAGCAGTAAGCTTGAGAAACAAACCAGTTTCTCCTGACACTGTTTAAACCCAATTTAAACACAATTCACTCAGGAGGTCAAAAGCCCCTGCAAGGCAGGATTGTACCCCAGGTCACTGGGTTCTGGTGCCAGCTGCGAGACCCCAGGACACACAACAATGGCTCTGTGCAGTGCCGTACCAGTGTCCCAGCGGTGACCGAAGTACTGGGGTCAGGAGCCAACAGGTGCCCTCTCTCCCATATCTGCAATTTCTATAAATCTCAAAGTACTGTATGGTATTTTTTTTTTCAGAGCATGGTTGAGGCTGGGGTATGGCTCAGCAGTCAAACATGTTTGCCTGGTGTGTATGAGGACGTGAGTTCCATTCCCAGCTTCAAAAAATATGCAAAATGAAAGTGTGGGATAAAAGAGAAATTGGCTAATGGCCAACAATGACAGCCAGGCCTAAAAACTTCATTTGGAAGATGCATATCTGAAAACAAGGGTCTCAAAATGGAAGGAAAATTATTTAAATCACAAGCTAATCATAAAGTTATTTACGAACAAAATTTTCTACCCCCACAACATCCCATGCCAGGTGTGGTGGTGCACACCTGTTATCCCAGCACTCAGGAGGCTGAGGCAGGACTGAAAGTTCAGAACAAGCCTGGGCAACACAGTGAAATTGTCTCAAAAAAGAAAACAAAACAAAACAACTGAAAGAAAAGAAAAGGAAAGGCAAGAAAAGAAAAATCCCAGAGTAAAGTCGATGGTCTAATAATTTAAAAGTCAAGCAACAGAAAACCAATAGAAAGCCATGGCTACTCCTGGACACATGGAGGCCAGGCCCTCTGACCAAGACACAGAGGGAGGAAGCTGCCATGTTTGGTTGTGAAAAACCAAAAACGCCTGTGAAGTAAAAAAATAAAGCCACAGGAAAAGGGAACCAAAGCAGGAAAGGCATGCAGTGACTCGAGGTAGGGACCATCTCCCTGCAGAGGCACTGGGCTTTTCCAAGCCCTAGGGCCCGGCATGGACCCAGGCCACATTTGTGGGCCATGGGCAGGGACAGGGTGGCCCAATGGGTGACATTCAAGACCCGCTAGCAGCAGGGATCAGTTCTGGCCTTGGCAGGAAAAGCCACCAAAACACTGGAGGTTGTGAGGCTGTCTCAGGTCATCCCGTCCCCAGCTGGTGGCAGTGAAAGTCACAGGATCCTTCCCTGTGGTCAACACAGCCCACTCAGGAGAATCAATCCCTGAAACAACTCCTGAGAAGGAGAGAACAGGTAAGTGGAAGCAGCCACCATCGTGGGGACGGGAGGGGACAGGCTGGCAAGGGAGGGCTAGGTGCAGGATGACCCATCACCCTGATAATGAACAGGGAACTGGTCACCACTAAGGACAATCAGACCATGCAGAAACACCAAAAAAAGAGTCTGAGTTCATAGTTCATGGAAAAAAAAAAGGAAGAGTTGTAATTGTGCTCATTTAATGGTGACAACCACTGAGCAGTTTGAACAAAGGGAAGGCTACACAACAAGCCCACATCCCACATGCACATGCACATGCGCGCGCGCACGCACGCACACACACACACACATGTGCACAGGAGCTGCAGCTCTGCAGTCTGTTACCAGCGGGGGAAGCTGGTAACTGGCCCACTAGACCTCTCTGCACTGTTTCTGCACCATCCTGGAGTCTCTAATTCTTCCCAAATTAGAGGTAACGGTAACCCCAGGTAAAGACAGTGCACCTAACAAAGGTGCTCGGTTCTACCCTGGCCCTCTGCTGGCGCTGCCTTCCCCCCTTCTGGGCCCTGCTAGTGCTGAGGCCTTCCGCCCTGGTGGCTCTGAGGCAACTTGGCTTGCGGGAGGGGTGCTCAGAGAGCTGGCCCCACACAACCACTAAGGTGGCCAGCTGCAGTGAAGCAGTGTGCGGCCACACCCAAAGGAGGGCGACAGAGCTCTGCTATTCATTGGTGTCCCTCTTCCACCAGGGAGAGGACAGCAGGACCAGAGCTGGAGGCCAAGGAAAGAACCCATGAGCTGCCAGGGAGGGCTGGGCTCTCTCTCGGGGAACCCCCTTTCTTCTCTTTGTGTAGGACAGAAAACATGGCCTTGCTCAGGGACCCCACCAGGGCTCAGTTCAGCAGAGAGAAATGAGATAGTACGGACTACTCTGGGAGAAGGCCAAAACAGGGTAAGGACACCAGCCTGCATTTCTTCCCCGTGTTACTGTCCCGACCTGAGGCCCATGCTCCAGTCCTCTCTTACCGTGATAGAAAAGGATTCTCGGAGGCTCCTCATCTTCCTCCTCTTCATCCAGGATGGAGTTGTTGGAATTAAACTCCGTGCACTCCTGAGAAGCTTGAGGGTCTGCCAATAATGTGAGGGTAGACTGTCACTGCGCTGCATTGTCCTCTCAGGAGAGGCATCTCAAGCAAACACTGCAAGGCACCTGAGCTTTATCAGTGCAAAAGGAAAAGATCCCACGCCATCCTCAATTCAGACAGGGCACCTTGGTTCAAGCACAGCTCATGTATTTTGAGAGCTGTAGATGGAACTCTGGGCCCTGTGCATGCAGGGCAAGGGCTCAGCCACAAAGTGCACTTTCAAGAAAAATAAACATACGTAGAGAGACAGAGATAGGCTTTCACGTCCTGAGGAGGGGAGGCCAGAGGCGTGGCAGCCCTGGATGGGAATTCTTTTTGTCTCGGTGTGGTTCTTCCCTTTACAGCCCGAAGCACTGAGGGACAACACAGAGTGGGTCCCAGGATCCCAGAGCTAACTGCAAAACAGGGCAGGCGCCACCTCCTTCCCTGGCAGCAGGGAAGAGGACAAACGGCTCCCACAGCCGCCACAGGCACAGGGACACAGCCTCAAGAAAGAGGTCAGCACAACGCTGAGATTCCTGTCCCATGTTTGCAGTGGGCAGGGTGAAGGCGCCTACAGACTCTGCGGTACTTAAGATTTCTGAATTTAAAAAAAAAAAAAAAAAAGATTTCTGAATTAGCATTTCAAGAATAAGTGGGACCCTGTGAGGTTAAGACAGAAAAAGCCTCGGTGCGAGCTCCTCAAGTCGGGCCTTTCCACCCCTTCTGCCCGTCCTGCTTCATTGAGGGTAAGGCATTCGTCCTGTGCAATGGTTAAAAGAATAAAGACCGTGGGCCGGGGATTTAGCTCAGTGGTCCCATGGCTTGCCCTGCAAGCGCAAGGACCTGAGTTCGATCCCTGGTACCAAAAAAAAAAAAAGAATAAAGACCATGGGCCAGGGATTTAGCTCAGTGCCACCACACCTGCCTCGCAAGTGCAAGGTCCTAAGTTCGATCCCCAGTACCAAGAAAAAAAAAGAAGAAAGAGGGAATCCTGGGGCCGGATGCCGCACTCCCCCCCCCCCCCCCCCCCCCCCCCCAGCAGCACCCCCCCCCCCCCGGCAGCTTCATGAGCAGCCCTCACTGAGCTCCCCCGGCTTCCAGTCCAAAACAAAAATACAAACAAGTATTTGGGAGAAGTTGAAGTAATTATAACTCAGTGGGGAGACAAACACAGAGGAACAAGAAATCTCTGCTTCCCATCTATTTTGATAATGGTTTCATTAAGATCTGGTTAAAAATACCCCAGCGCCTGCCCGCCAGTCTGGCCCAGCACAGCCCAGCTCCAGCTCCACCTCCCGGGCTGCCAGGTGGGCGGGCAGGCGCCACCATACACTTTACCTTCCTCCAGCCTGTCGTCGCCACTGTCCTGGAGACGAGGGGGTTGTGAGTCCTCCACCCGAGTGTCTGAGGGACAAGGGCTGGCAGCGGCACTGCGCAGAGTCATGTATCCCCCGGGCCGCAGGCTGGGGGACAGCTCCAGCTCCAGCTGTGTGGAAGGTGGCCTCAGGCACAGCCTCTTCACGGGGTGCCCTCTGGCCCTCTCCGGGGCCGGGACTGTGAGGCTGCCCGATGGCAAACCAGGGTCGTGTCCTTCAGCGCGGGCACACGGATCGTCCTCCCGGGCTTGGGGCGGCGAGGCCTGGCCCGTGCTCTGCTCCTCACTCTGTGCTCCCAAAAGGGCAGGTGCCTCCTGGCACTGGCTGGATCTCTGGGCCACATTCCTCCCCTTCCTCTTAGCGAGGCTGTGACCTGTGCCGTGGCTCCTCCACCCACTCCCATCCTGAGGGCCAGCTCCAGCTGGAGCCGCTGACAGGGCCCCCGGGCTCTTGCTTTTCCCCAGGCCCTCCTCATGGTCCACTTTGAACTCAGGGTCTTTTTCACAAGCGGACGAACCAGAACTGGCTGACACATCTTCGCGGAAGGAAGAACAGAGAGAGTTACGGAGCGAGGAGGCCGCTTCGGTAGGCTCGTTCTCCCTTCGACACTGAGCAGATCTGTTTCTCCTTGAGGTGCTTTCCTCAAGACTTGAACTGCTTCTCTCATTCAAAATATCCAGGGCCACCCGCAGCGAGCGTCTGTAGGTCAGCTCCTTCAGGGGCGCAGTGGGGACTTCAGTCTGCGAGGCTGCAGTGACAGAAAGACATAGTGCCAGTTATGTCCAGGTACCTGGGCACTGCATAGCCTGGCCTCAAAAGCTCCGCCGTCCAATTGTCACCGCCAGCCTATGTCTTCGAGTGAGCGAAGGGCAGGCCTAACATTTCTCGTTTTCCCTGAAAAAGGGACAAAGCTACAAGACAGCTATTCATTCAGGGCTGCGATCTTTTTTCAAGTGGGAAAAAAAAATGTACTGACCTTAACCTGATTGGCTAAAAAGATAAATTCCAACAAGTTACAAAACACTACTGTGAACAAAATGTATTCAAATGTTTTGCAAATCCTCTCTCTGCCTTACAATTTCAAATTCAATCAGGGTCAATAAAAACCAATGCCAACTAAATAAAGGACGCTGCTGGCAGCGTATTCTTGGGGCAGGGTGGGGGGGTGGGTGAGGCTTGGCCGATTAAAAAGACTCATTGTGGGCTGGGACATTTTCTTCACTTCTTTGCAAGGGCGTTTCAAAGCCAGAAAAGCTCATCCTCGGCCTCACTCTCTGGCCCATCCTCCCTGCCGCAACAGTTTTATTTATTCATTCCAACATACAGACACGGCACTACTTATTTGAACAAGATGATGGATGTAATATCACAACTCAGCGGGCATAATGCCTCAATCCAAACAGTATTTGGCCCCTGTTTAATATTAAAACCGCCCACAAGTAACCAGCCCCCCAACACAGTCGGAACCCATGACAAGGACGCCATCAGGGACGTGGTCCACCACCTGCGGCAGGCAGGGATGGAGCCTGCTCCTAACAATGGCAATTTTTCCTGGGGATGCAGGAAACTGGATCTTGCTTTATAAATGCCGTGGGAAAGAATTCTGGTCAATCTTTTCACAAGACCAGCAATTCCTGGCCAGTCGAACAGATACTCCCACTCTGAGGGAGAAACACAATTCTGGGTCTGCTGGGCTGGGACTAGGTTCTGACACCCCCAAGCTGTGTGTGTGTGTATGTGCGTGTGTATGCGCGCACGCACACGTGTATGGCGGATCCTTGTGTGACAGAGCTCACGCAAAGTCATTTCTCAGCTACAAGATGCAAAGGGGCAGAAGCAAAATCAAGCGTCATGGGAGAAGAAGAAGAGCCCTGCTTCCCACTCGTCTGTGTGGCCCACACCTGCACAGGCAGCTGCAGACAATGCCAGCCACCACCATGGGTGCAGGGCCACCTGTCCTTGTTCCTCTGAGCTTCCCCCTGGAATGTCAAACACAGCCTCAAAGCACAGGTAGGAACCAGACCAGTCAGGGGGTAATATGGTCACCTTACTGTCCTACTGTGGATGGGCAGAGAGAAAAGGAAAAGATCCTCCTCATGGAGGTACTTATGCATTCCTGTGAGCACAATGGGTCACAATGGATAGAGATGACCTTGAATCTTGTGTCAAGAACAGGACTACAGGGCCAGGGATTTAGCTCAGTGGTTTCGCCACCTGCTGCGCAAGTGCAAGGACCCAAGTTTGATCCCCAGTACCAAAAAAGCAAATAAACAAAAAAACAGGACTACAGGAGGCCAGGCACAATGGTGCACATCCACCATCCTAGCTATTTGGGAAGCTGAGGTAGAAGGATCGCAGGTTTAAAGCCAACTTGGGCAACTTACCAAGATCTGTCTCAAAATAAAAATAAAAAGGGCTGGGGATGTAGCTCAGTGGTAGTGTTTGCCTGGCACATGCAAGGCTCTGGGTTCCATCCCCAGCACTGCAAAAGAAAAAGCTGGGCCGGGGATTTAGCTCAGTGGTTCTGGTGCCTGCCTTGCAAGCACAAGGTCCCGAGTTCAATCCCCAGTACCAAAAAAACAAAAAGAATACACAGCTGGTGCTCAGAAAATCTTCACAAATATTGGGCCGGGGATATAGCTCAGTGGTTTCACTGCCTGCTGTGAAAGCACAAGGACCCGAATTCAATCTCCAGTACCAAAAAAAAAAAAAAAAGAAAAAGAAAAAGCTGGGCGGGGTGATATACACCTGTCACCTCAGCACTCAAGAGGTTGAGGCAGGAGGATCACAAGTTCAAGGACAGTCTGGACTAAATAGTGTGAGACCCTGTCTGGGAGAAGAGAAAAGAAAAAATTCACCCACACAAAAAAAGTAGGACTGGTTCTTGGGGCACATTTTGGAAAGGCTTAAACAAGCAAATTCATTTTTTTCCTTTCTTTCACTCCCACTTCCTTTCCTTTCTTTCTTTCCCCTCCTATGGGAATGTACATTGGGCAATTTTTTACCTAGAGTCTAGTCTTTACATTCTTGCAAACTCCTTCTCATTGCATTAGGCCTAATGGCCCCCTGGAAATAGTCTCTTACCCAAGAGTGAGGCAATGTTCTCAATCTGAGACTTCTTCAGAGTCTCAACTTCTGTGCTTTTCACCTTAATTCTGCAGAGACAGAAAATGACTGTTACACGCCACCAGCCAAGGCCACCAAAGACATTTTCAAACATGTTTTTCTTTAGATAACAAAAAAATTAAATTCATTTTCCTCCTTAACCTTCCACTTACACCAGAAGTCCCAGCCAACTAGGAATTCGGCTGCCTGAGGTTAGAGGCAGCTAGGACCCTGATGGATATGGCGAGTTTTTTCTTTTTTTTTTTCCTCTTTTAAAACAGAAAAGGTTGGCTGGTCTTAAGAGTAAAAATGAATTCAAATTGTGACTTTTATGAGGCAAATCCTACTTTCAACTGCACAAATAACTCCTTTGTTAGGTTTTCAGAGTAGCCGATAATGTCACTAAAAGCTGTTTACAGCCCAGCAGGCGAGTTTTAGTTTAAAAGGATGAGCTTTCCTTTTAAACTCAAGTATTCAATTACCTTCTCAGCCGCAGGGAGAGCCAAGCTGGGGCCAGGCAGACTCAGGAGACCGGGAGGAGCGGGCAGGGGAGAAAGAGGGCCAGCAGCAGCCAAGGGACTGGCTTTTTCAGAAGGAGCTGGCTTTTTCAGAAGGGGCTGATCTGACCCTCAATGTGCCAAAGCCACAGTCCCACACCACTTGAGCACACTAATCGTCATCCTTCCAGATGGCCTGCAACTTCCCATCACCAGGTAGCTGAGGGCAGAATCACATGCCCAAAAGCCACTTGATGTGCTGGAAAATTTCTCACTGGCCGACAGCCTTGAACACCAAATGTGTCAAAAATCACTGGGCCTGCCACGAAGGTTTCTGAAGCAAGACACACTCATCTGTCAGAAAGAAATGTCCCTATGTGGACCCTAACGAGAGCAGACGCTGTGTAGAATTTATATTCACTCAAGTTCTGAACCCATCTCTCTGCACGAGAAGCCCTGTTTACATCTTCAACTTCCAAACTAACGTAAAACAAAATCAGTTCTGGACTCATAAGGATATCACAAATGAGTGATACTAATTAAACAGTTAATAAGCTTTTAAAACAGGACTTCATGGGGGCAAAACTCAGAAACTCTGGACAGAAAAAAAAACAGTACTTAAAAAAAACAAACAAACACTTAACTTTTCATCTAGCGAGAGTATTTGAACATCTAGAAAGAATTCCTTTTCTCCCTCATCATTTGAAGTCTTGGGTCCGTCCAAAACCTACTTTTACAAAACAGAAATAATAATCCTTGTTATTAAGACAAAATGACTGACAAAAGAAACAGAGGCAACTCTGAACACAGGTATAGCAAGCATTTCTCAAGGCAACAACCACAGGATTTTAGGGACATAAAGTCCAACCTTCTTTAATTCAGAAAAGGAAACTGAGGCACAGGGGGGTGGGGGGCCAGAGATGATCCCAGCGCAGGACCCAGCTTTCTGCTATTCAGTCCAGCATTTCCTCAATTGCTGGAAGGCATCCCCAAAACACCGCCGTTATTTACTATCACAGGGCTTTCTGCCAGAAATTCCCTTGAGTCAGAGCCTTACATGCCTTTTTATAGCTGACTCTGTTATTTTTTCTCCATCTATTTAGTGTGGGGAAAAAAAAGACATTTCCGGAAGTAGAACCTCATAAGCACTAGACCAAAACCCCATTAAGTGGGGAATGGGAATAGGTGCCAGCAGATCAGGCAGCCAACTGTTCAGGTTCAATTATTTCGCCCAAACCACTCCTAGATTTCAGAGCCTGATAGAGATTTTACTTGTCACCTGAAAGTCATTTCTAATTCCCGAAATTACAGAATAATGGCTGTCACCTTTGCAGGCCATAATCGCTCTTCCCATCTGCAGAGGACGTACTTGGCATCCGTCATGATTTAGACTCATGTGGCAAGTGGTAATGATTTGGCACAAACAAAGTGCTTCAAGGTCTGCTGCCGATGTGCCCTGCAACAAAATGTGTGCGGTGGTTTAGGGAAACGTTTGCTGCGATTTTAGCACTGCGGCGGTGCTCTAGGGCAAAGGTGAGCTTGGCTTCTACTCCGGTGCTCTAGGGCAAAGGTGAGCTTGGCTTCTACTCCAACCCCACGCTAAACCCAAAAGCAGACTGACAAATGCCCAGCCTCAGTACCTGGGGAAGCCCCTACATTTATTTTTCCTGAAATAAAATAAAGCTGACTCCATCCCCAAGATTCCATCCAGATTATTTTTTAAAAAGCTCCTGAATAAAAAAATAAAATAAAAATTTTTAAAAAGCTCCTGAATAAATCATCTCCGTCCTAAAGGCCTGCCTGCCCCTGACCTGGGCACAGGAGGCATTTTAAACAATCAGAGCTTACAACCCTCCTCTCCTGCAGTAAACAGTGACGTGACCACGGCCCAAAAAACCCAGAGAGGTCGACAGCGGCGCTTCTTGCTGCCATGTCCCTTAAAGGATGGGGACAGCTGCATACCGTGCGCCATGTTCACAGCAGAGACTGCTTTGACTGTGGGCAGAAACAGAAAGGGGTGTGTGTGGGTGTGGTGGGGTTCACAGCAACATAGGAGGGGCTCAAGCTGCAGAAGAAGGGTTCACAGTAGTAAAAAAAAAAAAAAAAAAAAAAGCTGGGTGCAAAGCAGCAGGAGGGCGTTCGAAGGAGACAGGCAGAGGTGGAGGAACTGAGGAGGTGGCAGATGGGGGTTCAGGCTGCAGAGATGGGGTTTGGGCAGCAAGGATGAGGATCCAGGCCACGGAGATGGCGGTTTGGGGCGCTGGGCATGGCGCAAGGACAGGAATCCAGGGGTGCAAGGACAGGGATCAGGCCGCAAGGACGGAATCCGGGCAGCAAGGACCGGGGGCTCGGGCCGCAGAAAAGAAGGTTCAAGCAGAGGTAGGATGAGGGTCAGAAAGCACCGGGCGCCCGCCGGGGAGGACTCTTCGAAAGGAGCCGCCCCTCCCCCAGGCCCGCCGGGCCGCGCTGCCTCCAACCCGCCCGGCGGAACCGAGAGGCGATCCGGGCCAGGGTCACTGGCGCCCCAGACTGCCCTGTGGGGCGCCCGAGCCCAGACGACAAGGCCGCGGCGGCCCCAACGACGCCCTCCAACCGCCGCCGCCCGCCCCCGCGCTCACCGCCTCCGCCGCTCCGCCGCTCCCCGCGGGCCGGAGGCGGGGCCTGCCTCCAGCGGCGCCAAGCCCCACCACTACCGCCACCCAATGGGACACGCGCGTCTCCGCCCCACCTTATTCCCCGCCCCCAGACGTACGCGGCCTAGCGTGGACCACGCTCCCGCCGCACGACGGCCACATCCCTGCCACCACGTTCACCTTCCCGCACATGCGCAAAAGACAGGCTAGGGCGCCCCTATGCTCCGCCATACTACAGCGTCCCCCTTCACACGCTACCCTCTAGTCGTCCTGTCACACCCCTAAGCCAGCCACTCTTGTCTTTGTGGGAAGACAGAAGTCTCATCATACCACACATACACGACCTCTTAGAACCTGATTCCAACCCCAAAATCAGGGCGCCCACTCCCTGTTCACAGCAAGGGTGTATGAGGTCCCCCCATACACACACTGGGGACTGAACCCAGGGTTTTTGCCCTGAGCTACATTCCAAGCCCTTTAAAAATTCTTTATTTTGAAGGGGCAGGGATTTAGCCCAGTAGTCCCACTGCCTGCCTCGAAAGCGCAAGGTCCTGAGTTCGATCCCAGTTTTTAAAAAAAAGAATTAAATTTTTATTTTGAGACAGGGTCTCACTAAGTTCCTCAAGCTGGGCTGGGAGTAGGGATCCCTCTGCCTCAGCCTCCCAGTGTTGGATAGACAGGCATGCACCACCACACCCAGCAGGGCTTCTGTTTCTCAGGGAACTCTCCTTTGTCCCACAAACAGGGAGGGCCCTGCTGTGGAGAGGGACCCTGAGGGTGGCCCTGCCTTGTCCAATGGGCTAGAGATATTAGGTCCAGAGGTGACAATTAGGGGTGGAAAGTAATCTTCCAAGCTCCCTAAGAGTCCCCACAAGTCCTGGGGCTGAGTAGCAAGGAGGCCCCCAATGCCCACAATTCAACATGTGATCTTCTATGTGCCTGGGAGAGATCTGTAGCCACTCTGTGATGCCAGTGACAAGAAACAGTAAGGAGAGACCACATGTGGAGCTTCGGGGAGTGTTGCAGCGGCTCCCACAGGAGCCAGTTCTCTGAAGGCCATTTCCATGTTGTAGCCAGGTTGCCAGGGACCTGTAAAGCTGTGGGAAGGTCACAGATCAAGAGGCCGAAGGACTAGTGTCCTTTGATGGCATCTTTTTTTTTTGAGACAGGGTCTCAGTGCAATGCAGGCTTGAACTCACAGCAATCCTCCTGCCTCAGCCTCCAGTGTGTGGGATTATAGACCCGTGCCACCACACCCAGTGATGTCCCCCTCTTTCCTTCTTTCTTTCTTTTTTTTTTTTTGGTACCGGGGATCAAACTCGGGTCCTTGTGCTTTCGAGGCAGGCAGCCAGACCACTGAGCTAAACTCCCGGGCCCTCCCCTTCATTCCAATGAGGCAGACTTGGTTGTACTGGGGCTGGAGGTTCAGAGTGAGATAGAAGCCAGTCTTTGGCTCTGATTGACCTCTGGCTCATGGCATTTTGGGTAGGGTCTCCGTGAGACTCAGAGGTGCCAGGTGACAGTAAGGAACCACCCTCCCTCCTGTGTGCCATGCTCCCAGGTCAGGGCTGGTGACATCCACAGAGCCATAATTGGACATCTGTCGAACTCACTGGGGGACACAGGCCCATGCAGGCAGGCAGCGTAGCTCAGTGTTAACAAGGTCAAGCAACACCCCAGTTTCCTGACGTGGTCCCCTTATGGCCTAATTAGGGCCTTGGATGGATGGGAGTCCCCATCCCCACTCTGAGGTGATTTTGATGTCCCAGCTCAGTCACTTTAGAAAACACACATTCAGCTCTGCTTACCAGGCATGCCGCACATAGGTTTTAATCTTTGATTCAGTTCATGGTTGAGTACCACACTTAATACATTTTCATCCCTCGTCACATTAACAGAAACGACAGAAATCACCGTGCTTGGCCCTTGAGAAGATATGACAGGGGCTGTGGCAGCGTGGGCCTGCTGGGGATGCTAATTGGTACCTTTCTGCACCTTCACAATGCATGGACCACATTCAGACCCTCTAATCTAGCAGTGTCCCCATCCAGGAGCTTGCCCTGCACATGTCCTCAGATGAGCGGGGATACTTCTTGCAGCATTATTATTATTATTAATTATTATTATTATTATTATTCTGGGGGGGTTGAGACATGATCTCTCTCTCTCTCTTTCTTTTTGTCTTTTTTGACAGGGTTTGAGACAGGGTTTCACTATGTAGTTCAGATTGGCCATGAACTCCCTATGTAACCCTGGCTGGCCTCGAACTCATGGTGATGCTCCTGCCTCAGCCTCCCAAATTCTGGGATTACCAGTGTATACCATCGCCAACATGTCCAGCCATTATTATTATTATTATTATTATTAGCCATACTGGAGATTGAACCTAAAGCTTCTGCAATGAGCTACAGTACATCCCCAGCCCTTTTAGTTTTGTTTTTTTTTTCCTGAGACAAGGCCTCCTTAAGTTGCTAAATTGTCCAATTACCCAGACTAGACTCAAATGTTTGATCCTCCTTTTTTTTTTTTTTTTTTTTGGTACCAGGGATCAAACTCGGGACCCTTGCGCTTGCAAGGCAGAGACTGGAACCACTGAGCTAAATCCCTGCCCCTGATCCTCCTTTGTTTTCCTCGGTACTGGGAATTGAACTCAGGACCTTGCACTTGCCGGGTAGGGGTGGCACCACTGAGCTATATCCCCGGCATCCTCCCAAGTAGTTGGGACTTCAGGGTATGAGCCATCATGCTTGGCTGTGATACACAACACTTTTACATTGTCATGTCCTTCCTAGCTTGCCATAGTCTGTGTCATTCGTTCTGTATTCTAAACGATAGGGGAGAGAAAATTAATTTACCAGCTGGCATCAGAATTCATTTTAGAGACACAACGAGGCTTGTTTAGGAAAATATCTTAATTAGTCCTAGGGGTGGTGAGGCGGCCCCGAGGACATGAGATGAAAAGGACCCACAAAGACACCGCCAGCCTCCTCTGCAGGAGAAAATAGCTTCAGTCTTGGGGGGGGCAGAGCGGGAGGAGTTTCAAGAAGAGGTGGGGACCCTCCGAGATCAAGGTACAGAGAGCTGGCCAGGGAGACAAAGGCAGAGCAGAACAGATGGGACATTGGGTGACCTCCTCTGGCATCACCTTCAAGGCCCCAGGGATCCTTGTGGGGACAGCAAGACGTTCTCTCAGCTGGACCTGCTCAGCTAAAACAGAACAATACACACAAAGATAGGCAGGTCTCACCGGAGTCAGGAGCCCCGGACTCTAGGGATGCACCCAAGGGCGCACAGCATACACTTGTCTGATGACTAGCAGAACTGGCCGTGATGGCACACATCTGTCACCCCAGCACTCTGAAAGGCTGAGGCAGGAGGATCACAAGTTCCCACCAAGCCTGGGCAATTTAGAGGCAGTGGGACCCTGTTTCAAAATTTAAACAATAAAAAACGCTGGGAATGTAGCTCAGTGCAAAGGCCCTAGGGTCAATCCTAAATACTGAAGAAAAAAAAAAAAGATGTCAGGTGTGGTGTACATGCCTATAATCCCAGTACTCGTGAGGCTGAGGCAGGAGGATTGCTGATGGTTCCAGGTCAGCCTGAACTACATAGCAATAGCCTGTCTCAAACAAACAAACCAGAATCTCAATGGTAACAGACAAGCCCTTAGAGTTGATTCAAGAGTTATGAGAATAGCAGCTGGATGTGGGTGTGGGCATCCATAGGTGGGTAGGGTGGGATGAGTTCTTTTCCATCCTGTGCCCAGCTTTGTTTGACAGATTACATTGGGGCTGCCCTCCCTGTGTAACTGTAAAAAACAAACAAAAGAAATGAAAATAAAACTATCTCCATTGTGCTTGCCCTGAGCCACCCTGAGAACAGCTTCCTGCAGGCCCCAAAAGGCTCTTTGGGCGCAGACTCTGCAGGGTGCTAAGCAGAATTCTTAGCCTCCACCCACTTTGTGGCAGGAGCTCCCCCAGTGTGACAGCCACAGATGTCCCCAGACACTGGCTGAGGTCCCACCCCAGTTAGGGTGATGAAGGATGAAGGATGTCCTTTGACCCAAAGAAACTCTTTCCCATAATCCTCTGCCCTGTTGAGGCCGGAAGATAGGCCCACATTGACATCCACAGTCTCATTATTGCCAAAAGTTCCCAAGGCCAGAACCGCCTCAGGTAATAACCAAGGCCATAGACTAATTGCATCCCCATCCCCTAGGGGTATTGGGTCTCTGTAGTCTGCGAGTGACAAGTACTTGGTGCCTAAGAATAGTATGCAATCCAGATCTGGTGCAGGAACACGTGATTGGGTTTTTTTTGTTTGTTTTTTGCTTTTTGGTACCAGGGATCGAACTTGGGTCCTTGCCCTTGCACAGCAGGCGGCGAAACCACTGAGCTAAATCCACGGCCCCAGGAACACATGATTGATGGCAGCTCCTGTCATCCCAGCATGCTGGAAGGCTGAGGCAGGAAAATCTCAACTTTGAGCCCAGCCTGGGCAACTTAGCAAAATCCTGTCTCAAAAAAAAAGACAAAAAGGCTGGGGCTGTAGCTCAGTGCAAAGGCACCATGGTTCAACTCCTAGTACCAGAGATATCTTGTCTCAAAAAACAAAAAACAAAAAACAAAAAACAAAACAGAACAGTGAAAGGGAGAGCTGATAGGTAGATCAGGCCCTAGAAGGCCCCACCTCGACCTCTGACCACTATACCTCAATGCCTGACCCCTGCTTGTTGACCCTCTTTTATACCAACAAGCCACCTCCTGCTGGCCATCAGCCCCAGAGAAGTCCTGAAGAACAGGAAGAAATTCTAGAGAGAAATCCACCTTCAGGAAGGAGTTTGTTTGTTTGTTTGTTTTTCAACTAGGGTCTTCCTACGTAGCCT